AGAAAACAAACTGAGGGTTGCTAGAGGAGTTATGGGTGGGGGGGTGGCTAAATGGGCAAGGGGCATTGAGGAAGACACTTGGAATGAGCACTGGGTGTTATACGTATGGGATGAGTCACTGGAATCTACTCCTGAAATCATTATTGCACTATATGCTAATTAGCTTGGATGTAAATTAAAAAATTAAAAAGCAGTCTGGTCAGAAAGATATAGCTGTGATTTTTATTTTGTTGTTTTTCTTTTATTTCTAAAAGAACAGAATGTGATTTTAAAGTATTCCATATCTTTCTTAGTTTGTATTACCCTTGAAATTGACATGTTTACATAGCTAAAATCATATTCCTGTCTCTGCTGTTAATTGAGATATTTCAGCCATTTTAGTATTCTTGTCATATATTTAAATAAAACGCACTTTTTTTTTTTTTGCTGTTACAGGGGCAATGTTAAATATTGTTCAAGATTCAGCACTTTTAGAAGCCATTGGTTGCCAAATGGAGATGGTAAGAAGCATACCACGTGTAATCTGTCAGGAGAATATCAACATCTGATTTTATGTAAATTGCATTCCAAAATGTCTGTCTTTGTGATTTTTAAAGGCATTTATAAATTCAGCTCATTGATTCTGAAGGATCCTGTTTTAAAATGTGTATTTCGAGGTTTCTTACCTTTTAGTGCTTCCTCAGCCATTAATCAGGTCTTTGAGAGATTCTGCATGAGAGAAATTTCAGATAGATACAGTTCCTGGACAGTGTCTACTTAAAGCTCTTGACTTCTTTTGCTGTGCTGGTGAACTGGCTTAAATAATCTAGGAAAAGCCCTCTATTCTATTATTCCTTCTATGCCTAGTAGATCTAATGCTGGCTGGAAACAAGCATGAGTTTATTCTTTTCCATCTTATCAACTCTTTTTTTTTTTTTTTTTTTAAGTTTATTTATTTTGAGAGAGTGAGAGAATGGGCAGGCGCATGTGAGCGGGGGAGGGGCAGAGAGAGAGAGAGAGAGAATCCCAAATGGGCTTTGTGCTGTGAGCCTAAAAAATAGTGAGATAGTGACCTGAGCCAAAATCAACAAATGGACACTTAACCGATTGAGCCACCCAGGCGCCCCCATCAGCTCTTTTACACCAAAGTTTGAAGGTCCCCCAAAGCATCAGTGCTTCCAAATTAAAAATGTTTCCCACTGCCCCCCTACTTCTGGCTTCAGGATATGTGATCCTTGTACTTGGGGTAAAGACAGGAGAGTGGAGAAATTAATAGAGTATACTAGAATGAGATGGGTATATGTAAGATGGGTGATCAAATATTATTAAGGAAATTAGATTCATATCCCAGTAGGTAGCTAAAATAATCAACTGATCTGGATATAATGAATTTTGTTTATATGGGGGAAAATGAGAGAAATCTTTAACAGATACCTTTGTCAGCCCCTGTACATATGGAAGTACTAACTGTAATATTTCATTGTTTGTGTTCTATGATGTAACTACATTTGAAAGTTACTGTTGTTTATTTGTGTTTTGTTTTTTTTAAGATTGTATAAATCTTAAAGCGTTCTGAAGTTTTGCTTAGAGGCACTAGGGTGTTTCTTTAAGGACCCAGAGTTATTAGCTCGTGAAATCTAGTGAAGATGGGAAAGGTCCTGAGCTGGCCCTTTGTAAACAGCGGCAAAGAAGACTCCAGAATGGGCAACCATAATCATCAGACCTTTCATACCCTTTAATAGATGGTGTCTGTGCAAAAACATGATAGTTTTAATCCCTTGTCAGTTTTTATCTGTATCAGTTTGTGCTGCTTAAACGGCTACTTAGCCATTCCATTTTATCAATGTGGCTTTTAATGACTGACCTCTATTTATACTTGTCAACTTGGGATGTAGACCTCAGATATTTGACTCGTTTTTATTTGACTAGGGTGGTGGAGAAAATCACCTGAAGAGTCATAGTCGCACTAATAGTGGTATTAGTTCAGCAAGTGGTGGAAGCACAGAGCCCACAACTCCTGACAGTGAAAGACCTGCTCAGGCCCTCCTAAGGGATTATGGTAAGCCATGTCTGGTTTTTTGAAATCCAAATTTTATTGAATAACTTTTAATGCCCAGATATGTAAGACAAACAAAATCTTTTTAAAATTTTAATGTTATGATTTTTTAAGGTATTTAAGTGTAATAGACTATTAGTCTAAGAGATTTTTATTATTTTTTAATTTTTATTTTATTTTAGAGAGAGAGTGTGAGCAGGGTAGAGGGGCCAAGGGAGGGAGAGAAATTTAAGCAGGCTCCATGCTCAGTGTGGAGCCCGATGTGGAGCTTGATCCCATGACCCTGGGATCATGACCTGAGCTGAAATCAAGAGTTGGATGCTCAACTGCCTGAGCCACCCAGGCGCCTCTAAAAGATTTTTTTAAAACAAAGCAAATCTTTTAAAATTAGCTCTATAGCTTCTAATAGCTAATTTTGGGTAGTTTATTAGATTTTATAAATGATTATAGTGGGTTGTCAGGGAAACATTTCTGGATTCTGTACCAAGTGTTGGTAATACAGAGTCAAATAGGATGTGCTGTCCCTCAGGCTCTAATGACAGAGTCAGCCAGCACGTCAGTTATTGCAGTGTGATAAGGGGAGTGATGAAATATACATTAGATGGGAACTCACAGGAGAGTGTCTTTGTGTTTAAAAACTATATATCTTACTATAACTGGTTAGATTCTTCAGTCACAAATTTTAAGCAAGAGTAAGGCAGCATTTGCTAGTTGAGCATTCTATTCAATGATATCCTTTACCCTTGGCAGTTACTTTATGGGTTCTGTGAATTTGTGGGTGCCTTTGTGTTTTTATACATAATTATTCATATTGTATTGAATCCGTGAGTGCCAGTCCAACTTGACTGGAATGAAATCTAGATCCTTAGATGTGAATTTAATTTTTTAATCATCTGGAAAATTCATGAGCTTAGGAGTCCAGGCATGTTTTAAGTATCCTCGAGCATGTCAGATATATCAGGTCATTGTGAGGTTTTTCAACAAATTTAAATACAGCATTTATAAAGAAGTTACTTAAAATTGTTATCTTCTTCATTATGTTCATGGATTTAAGTATACTATAGGTGAAAATTTGTTTTTTATGCTTTCTAAAACACTTTTAAACTAAAGAATTTTCTGAATTATTGTATGTGTTCTAATATAAATGTTGGAAGTGATTATTGTTTGTTTCAGCATTTTGAACTGGTGTTAGTGAGTTCTGCTTGTAATGTTGTAGTTTTTACTAAGAAATCCAGATTTGTGTTAGTGTCGCATGAATGTCTCTCTTTAATGATCATTCCTTTTTCTGTTGTCACTGCCCTCTTTCTGATAGGATCGACAGGTATAATGTCCCTAAAGCTTCCTTTATAATAAAATTCAATTTAGTTTGTCCTAATTTATTATTAGCTAAGTAGTAATTACTTTACATTTTTTAAAAGTTTTTATTTATTTATTTTGAGAGAGGATGAGAGAGAACAAGTGGGGGAGGGACAGAGAGAAAGGGGGACAGAGGATCCAAAGTGGGCTCTGTGCTGACAGCCGGGAGCCCGATGTGGGGCTTGAACTCGAGATCCGAGAGATCATGACCTGAGCCGAAGTCAGACGCTTAACCGACTGAGCCACCCAGGCGCCCCAGTAGAACTGGAGGCCAAATAAAAAACATGGTGACTTGGTTAATTTCTTTTTTAGAAGTCCTAAAGTGGTCTTAGAGAATTAAATGTTAAAATGTGTTTAGAAAGACATTGCATGTGACTTTTGATAGTTTAAACCCTGAGAATAATTTCAACAGATGCTTTATTCCTAGCATCTGAGGGGATTCTAAAATGTGAATTCTTTTTTTCTATAAAATTCCAAGGAAATAATGATAGCCTTTTCACTGTTTTTTTTTTTTTTTTTTTTTTTTTTTTTTTTTTTTTTTTTTTTTTTTTTTTGAAAATGTAACTCTCTATGAGTTTAGAAATTTTAAGATTTACATTATTATAAGAATGATATCGAACTGCCAGATCCCGGTGGATGTCTGTGTAAAAAGTAGCTGAGCTGGGAACTAGAAGCTGCTTTGGTCCAGTGTGTGTGCCCTGTGCACTGTTGTTGAGTCAGGCTTGGTGCTCAGGCCGGTGGGGTGGGGAGTGTAGCCCTGTGCGGGTGCCCATTGTGCTCACTGTGGCTGCTGTGGTCTGTGCCTGGTGGAATGCTGTGCTTCTTGTTACTAATGCTTAGTTGTTTTCCCTCCCTGTGGGATGTGGCATTGGGGTTATATCCTAGCTCTTAATACAGATTCAGCTGCTGGGCTCCTGATCCGCAGCATTCATCTCGTCACCCAAAGACTCAACTCCCAGTGGCGGCAAGACATGAGCATATCACTGGCAGCTCTAGAGCTCCTCTCTGGCCTGGCAAAGGTGAGGGGAACAGTCGTCGTATTTTAGCCTGACAGCTTTGGACCGTCACTCTTTTTCCCGTATCTCCTGACAGTGGTGGTTATACTCAAACGTAGTTTATGTCTAGAGTGTGCAAAAAGGAGCCTTCAAATGAAATTTTACAAAGTGAACTTTATTTGTTTTTAATAAGTTCAAAGAGTGAATTATATTTTTGTTGTTTACAGGAAACATCTCAGTACTTCCTATTTATTTGCAAATGATAATAGAATGCCTGTTGATTTTGTATATGCTATATAATACCCTTAAATTTTCAGCGTGACATTTTATGCCATTGTAGGATCATCAGATTTTAATAAGTACGTGGGAAAATGTGCACAAATCTCAAAATATTTATGCTGAGTACAAGAAGCCAGACCCTCTCCCCTCAAAAAAAGAATACAATACTATATGATTTTATTTGTATAAAACTCTAGAAAATGCAGGCTAACCTGTAGTGACAGAAGGTAGATCAGTAGTAACCTAGGGAAGGGGCATAAAGGAGTGGGAGAAAGGATTAGCAAGGTGCATGAGGATATTTTGGGGGGTGATTGATATGTCCACTACTTTGATTGTGCTGATAGTTCACAGGTATATACTTTGGCCACAATTTATCAAATTTTTCACTTTCAATATGTGTAGTATCCTCTATGTTAATTGTACCTCTGAGCAGGTACATAGAACTTCGTAGCCCATAGAGCCTCACTGTAGGGTTGGGTTAGGGGCTTCAGAGGCTTCAGAAATGGGCACACGTTCCATTGCCAGCTATCCTTCTGATATCTGGCAATGATGAAGTTTAGGTTTTAGGCAGTGAAGAAATATGCTAAAATGAAATACTGTTTTAGGGTTTGAAAAATGCCTTCTTTATAGAGTATTATGTGATACATCTGAAATATTCTGTTCCTCTGTAGAAATACCATTTTTTTTTTTTAATACCATTTTAAAAAATAAGGCTTTCTATGGTGTATCACAGCGTCAGAAAGGCTGGGCTTCGGCGCAGATACTTTGAAATTGGTACGGTGGTTCCTGGCTAACTGTGTTCCCCGTGTGACTGTGTTCAGGTGAAGGTGATGGTGGACTCTGGAGACCGGAAGCGAGCCATCAGCTCCGTGTGCAGCTACATTGTGTACCAGTGTAGTCGGCCAGCTCCTCTTCACTCCCGGGATCTGCACTCCATGATAGTAGCGGCTTTTCAGTGTCTCTGTGTCTGGCTGACAGAGCACCCTGATATGCTTGATGAAAAGGTTAGTTTACTAGATCTGTTGTTTGTTTGTTTGTTTTTGAGAGAGAGCAGGTGCATGTACACTGCTCGCACATGAGCCAGGGAGGGGGAAAGGGAGAGGGAAAGAAGAGAATCTTAAGCAGGCTCCACATCTAGCACCGAGCCTGACACAGGGCTTGAGCTCATGACATGAGCCAGACACGTAACTGACTGAGCCACCCAGGCGCCCCAAGTTTACTAGATCTTAAAACGGGGAGAAGAAACAAAAATGTATGCTGGGAAAATCCCTCTTAAAAGAGAATCTTTAAGGTGGGGGAGATGGGAAAATGGGTGATGGGCATTGAGGAGGGCACTTGTTGGGAGGAGCACTGGGTTTTGTATGTAAATGTTGAACCATGGGAATCTACCCCAAAAACCAAGGGCACACTTTACACACTGTATGTTAGCCGATTTAACAATAAGTTATGTTAAAAAAAAAGAATCTTTAAATACAGTATTGCATACTTACACTGAATATAGTTGTAATATTTTAGGAGAACACTTGTTCTTTTGAGCACAACTCAATAATTGTCATCATGCTTATATTTGGTTGCAAATTAACCCATAGAAAAGTTCTTTTTTATTATTATTTAAAAAAAATATTTTTTTAAACATTTATTTATTATTGAGAGACAGAGAGAGAC